TTTGATAGGTCCCTCAGGACAATTCAGAGGTTACTCAGCAGCAGTTCCAGGATCACAGACAGTTAGGGATAAAAACAGGGGCAGACTCCATGTTAGGAACGCGGAATTTTAGCTGCCCGCAGAGAAGAAATCAAGAGCATTTGGATGGTTCTGTCCTGATGGAATGAACTCAGGAGAAAGTTCTAGAAATTAGTGAGCAGACAAGAGTTAGTGTCAGGGCTCAGAGGAAGAAGTCCTGTGCAGCTCAGAAAGTAAGAAAGTCACTACCTCTGCGTTGGGGGAATCCACGAGGAGCTCGGAAGAAGCCTGCGAGCATTAATATTTCAGTACATCTGAGAAAATGTTGAAGAAATCTTGAAAAGCTTATAAGCAGAACTCCGGGAATATGCAGGGAAACATCTGGCTGAGGGCTGTGAACTGTCGGTAAAAAACTGGAACTGTGACTGAGGAAAACTAGTAGAGTTTCAGAGTCAAGCAAAGAGTGGACGCAGGACAGGAAGGTGATCGACCAGAACCGAAACAGTTGTTGAGGTAGTAGATGACAGGATGGCTCTTTAGAAGCTATCAGTATTTATCGATGTAAGAAAAAGCTAACATTGGTGCCCCCAACTGGAATTTTCTTTCTGCATTCCACAGAGGAATACCCCTGAATGGGCCATGTTCTCACTGTCAAACCACCCTGATAGCTATTAGCTTTTTCTTTCACCACTAAAAAATGTTGACCATGAATGGCCCTCGCCTACAGAAACACGTGATGTCATGACCTGTGCTCAATCCATTGCCCTTTGAACACAGTCCTTTGAAACTTACTGGCCCTGTCTGAACAGAAGAAAATTTGTCAAACATTTCTATAGTACTAAAATGTGTGGCAGCTGGTTCTGATGGGAGTCCTTTCCCTGATATCAGTTTCTCAACTGTCCACCTATTAGTGCAGAGCTGGCCCTTGAATATTTACAGTGGAAAGCAACAGAAACATATGTTTGGCAAGAGATGCTGTAAAGTGATGAGAGCAATGTGGTCCCAGAACAGCAGTTAACTTGCATCCCATCACTCACAAACCGAGGATGACTGTTGTTCCATATCGATCATTCAGTAGACTCAGTTAGTTCAGTACCAGGTTTAACCAAACATTTACTACATCATTTACTTAATCACATCAGCCATGGGAAATACAGGGTTACAGGGATAAGGTGGGGGAGGGGGAGGTGGTGATGGTGGGTCTGTGCAGGATGCTCTTTGGAGGGTCAGTGTAAACTCGATTGGCTGAATGGCCTAGAGTCTTTCCTGTTTGTCTCGTGCTTAGGATTCATCACTGTCATCACCATAGCCCAGGCTCAAATCATTCGGTGGTTCAGTGGTTAGCACTGCTGCCTCACAGTGCCAGGGATCTGGCTTTGATTCCACCCACGGGGACTGTCTATGTGGAGTTTGCACATTCTCCTCGTGTCTGCATGGGTTTCTGCTGGGTGCTTTGGTTTCTTCCACAGTCCAAAGATGCGCAAGTTAGGCGGTTTGGCCATGCTAAATTACCAGTAGTGTGCAGGGATGTGCCAGTTAGGTGGTTTGGCCATGGGAAATGCAGGGTTACAGGGATAGGGTAAGGGGGGTGGGTCTGGGCGCGATGCTCTTCGGAGGGTCAGTGTAGGCTCAATGGGCTGAATGGCCTGCTTCAACACTACAGGGATTCTATGATTCTTAAACGTTATTACATCAAAATTGTGTTCTTCTTGAATGTCTAGATTCATAAACAAAGTAACTTTCAAACTAAAATAAATTTAACAACATTGGAAATCTATGATAGAAATATAAATGCAGCATTGCAAATACTTATTAAAATTACAAAAAGAACAAAGAATATATAGACAGGATGGGTAAAAAGGCATTTGGCATGCTTGCCTTCATTGCTCAGTCCTTTGAGTACAGGAGTTGGGACGTTATGTTGAGGTTGTACAGAACATTGGTGAGGCCCCTACTGGAGTACTGTGTCCAGTCCTGGTCACCCTGTTATAGGAAGGATATTATTAAGCTGGAGAGGGTTCAGAAGAGATTTAGCAGGATGTTGCTGGGCATGGAAGGTTTGAGTTATAAGGAAAGGCTGGATAGGCTGGGGCATTTTTCATTGGTATATAGGAGGTTGAGAGGTGGCCTGATAGAAGTTTATAACATAATGAGAAGTAGAGATAGAGTTAATGGTAGTTGACTTTTCCCTAAGATGGGGGATTTCAAGACAAGGTGGCACATTTTTAAGGTGAGAGGAGAGAGTTTTAAAAAAGACATAACAGCCAATATTTTTATACAGAGGATGGTTCATGGGTGGAATGAACTGCCTGAGAAAGTGGTGGATATCGGTACAATTACAATGTTTAAAAGACATTTGGATGGACATATGAATAAGAAAGGTTTGGAGGGATATGGGCCAGGAGCAGGCAGGTGGGACTAGTTTAATTTGGGATTATGTTCAGCATGGCCAAAGGGTCCGTTTCCGTGCTGCATGACTATGACTATGAACTGCGGATGGTAGAAATCAGAAACAAAATAGGAAACTGGCATCATCTCTGGAGAGAAAGCAGAGTTCTGAGGAAGGTTTACTGGATCTAACCCTAACCCTAACTGACCTGCCGAGTTTCTCCAGCAATTTCTATTTTTGCTTCATGTTAAAATTACATTCACCTTAAGTTTCAATTGACCAGGTTCCATCTAGAGGCAGACGTTGGGCACTGCTAGTGGAATTACCTGCACCAGCCAGCTTCTGCCACTAGTTGGAGCCCAGGACCTCAGTGCAAGTTAAGAATGGGAGCCGGGAAGAAGTTGACATCAGAGGATTTAACGGTAAGAACAGAGGGTCGGAATAGGAGCAAGTGGAGCGGTAGGGGCTGAGACAGGGCAAAGGCGAGGGGACTAAGTGCAGAAGTATAAGCATAGGCAAAGGGCCTTGGCAGCGGGAAGTCTCGGGCAAATAATGTTAAACTGAAATTCGTGACATGAAAGGAATTTATTGTCGCAATTTTATTAACACTAAGTATGTTCATACTAAATAGGGACTTCCTGGGTACTTCAAAAACACATATCATTGGCTATAAAACACTTTCAGACATCCTGTGGTCATATAATTTGTGATATAAACACAGGTCTTTTATTTCTTTCACCTCACTTCAGCTGACTCGCTCTATATCTTATTCCAAGTAGATGCCCTTGTCTGGAACTTTTTCTTCAACGTTCTTTGGAGGGTCTGTGATTTTATGTATCATCTCAAACTGCACATGGTTCAGATAATAATCCAGAGATTATCATCTTTAAGGTTTTATTTTTGCAATTTTGTGCCGAGTTCCTTACAATCTCTATGCAGAACCTCTTTCCTAGTTCTGTCTATTGTCACCAATACATGCATGGACCACGACCATTCGATGTTCCCCTTCCCATGGCAGGTTCCTTTCCAGGTTAGAGACAAAAAAGGTGCAGATGCTGGAATCCAAAGTAGACAAACAGGAGGCTAGAAAAACACAGCAAGCCAGGCAGCATCTGGAGGAGGAGAAGTCAATTTTTCGGGTAATACCCTTCTTCAGTCCCAAAATGTTGACATCTCCTCTTCCAGATGCTAACTGGCTTACTGTGTCTTTCCAGCCCTGAGTAGATGTTCTGAGCCCTGGCACCAGGCAGACAACACAACATCCAGACTCCCATTCTTTCCTGTAAAGAACACTGTCAATCCCCTTCACTACATTATGACCGACTACCACAGCATTCGTGTTACTCCACTCACTCGAGCAGCTTCCTGTATCACGGTGCCATGGTCAGTTTAAACAGCCAACCTGCAACCCTCCCGCTCTCATCCAAATAATAATCTACCAGATTATTGCCGAGGCTGACACTCCTGCACACATGGTCTAGGACCCCATACCTGCTTCACAGTCCCTGATCACTGAGTACGTCAGAAAACCCTATCCTAAGTGCTGTGACTGCCTCCTGATAGTTTCACCTCTCCCTGATGTTTTGCCAAGGCAGTAGTTTCAGCTGCCAGTTCATTAACTCACAGTCAATGAGGCTTAAATTTCAGACATTTAATATCAACATGTTGCCCTGGATCGCAATGACATCCAGGAGCTTCAACATGCTGCAGTCTTGACACATCATCTGTTGTTGCTATCCTCGGAGTTTCTTGGGTCACTTTCTTACCCATTCCTTTAGGTGATGCTGACTGAGTGTCACAGTGTCCTCACCTTGCCTGTTCTCTAGGTGATGCAGTCAGATCCTCGCTTCGTCTGCTCCTCCAACCTCCCCACCACATCTTATACCAGTGTTACTAATCTAAGGTGCTCACGCATCTACCCATTCTGCTTGCAGTCACTTTAGTCATATACGTTAAATCAGAAAGATGTTTCTACACTGCTGGACAGCAAATGAGGTAGATGATTAAGGATTCTACATGTGAAGGTATCAGTTGAGGGAGGAATATTGTCTGGTCATTGCCCTTCAGGGAGTGGCTCAGGCCCTGCAGTCTCCTCCTGAATCACTGCCTCCACAGTGTACAGAAGAGGGCGCTTTCACTGTTTGCTCACATCCAGGATTGAAGCTTGCAACCAAGAGCTTTCCGATTCAAAGCTGTAAGGGTCACTGATAATCAAGCTGACATTTCAATGAGTTAACGATGGGAACTAACATGAAATCTTTTTGGGGTCTTGACAATACACTGCGGAACACAGCAGGATAAACATGCTGATGTGTGAGAGGCCACCCCCTTCATAGAGTTCCCAAGCTTTCTCCCAAGAAAGTGTGCACTCTTGTTGAAAACAGTGCCAACAATACCTGCCTTACTCGACCTTCCTGGCTGGCATTCCTAGCAGATGTGAATGCAGTGATTGGCAGAAAGCTCTTAAACTGAGGAGTGAGCATCGCACAAGCCAGGAGCTATGTTGAACTGACTTTCCAGGTTGATTCACTGATAGATGATCATCAATGAGAGTTATTCCATTACATATTTTTTGTAGTGATTTTGTTCCTACCGTTGTGGTTTGGGGAGCCAGTTGTGAATTGATAACAACACAGTGTGCAGCGTCTTGCAAGGCACTTCACGATTTATAATTGCGACAGCCTTTGGGGGCTCAGCAATTCCTTGTAACATGTAGAGCAATCCTGTACCATCAGGCAATGGGAAAAAGACAGAGCCCTGCAGGACCACAGAAATACTGATCAATACTGATCCTGGTGAAAAAAAAATACTTATCATTACTGAACCCTGGGAATTAGAGACACACAATCAATACTGAACCCAAGTAATTAGAGACACGTTAATCAATACTGAACCCTGGGAATTAGAGACATGCAATCAATACTGAACCCAAGTAATTAGAGACACATAATCAATACTGAACTTGGGGAATTAGAGACACACTGATCGATACTGAACCCTGGGAATTAGTGACACACTGACCAATACTGAACCTGGGGAATTTCTGACACTCTGATTCCCTCCATACTGCTGTAATCTAGGGTTAAAGTAGGTTAAGGAGGAGAAATGTGGTCTGGGTGCAGGAGAATCACCAGGGCCCATTATTTCACTCCCTGTCCCTGTTATTTGCCTCAAACACATCTGGTAGTGAGTTCCCTACTTTTTAACATTCTCACAGTAAAGATATTGCTTATGAATGCTCAACTTGATTTCTAGATGACTGTGTTTTATTGATTGCCTCTTGCTTTGTTTTTCAGCAAAATAAAGACACACGTTCTATCACCTTATCAACACCTTTCATAATTTTAAAATCTTCAATTAGGTTCTGTCTCAGGCTTCCACTTTTCTCTTGAGAAGACACCCAGGCTGTTCATCCTTCCCTGACAGGTATAACCTCAGAGTTATAGTTTTCATCTTTGTAAATCTGTTTTGTTCGTTCCCCAGAGGCCCTAACGTCTCTTCATTATATGGCACTAGAACTGTGAGAAGCACTCAATGTGTGATCTAACCAGATTCTATAGATAAATTAGATAAGCTTCTTTCAGGAAATAATATTTCCAGATACAGTACATGAGTCATCGGAGGCACAATATGTGGCAAATGTGGCAAACGCAGGAGTAGAAGGTAATGGATCGAGATTGATTTTCTATGATTAGTAACTCTTTGTGATTTTTAAAGAAGACTGCCAGCTTCTAAGGTCACCAGTAATCAAATTATTTTTATCTGTTACAAATCTATTACTGATGTAGACAGTGATAGCTGGACAGAAAAGGCCAAAAGTCGTTTACAATGTTTTCTACACTTGATACATTCACAGGCCTCACTGAAAGTGATAAATTTAGTTGTTTATTCAGTGGTTTGAAGCTCCACAGGACAGTGGCCCCGATGTCACTGCAGATAGGTTCTCTGAGTTGGCCCCACCTGAAACCCAGCACATTTTTCTATGTTCTTACAATCACAGGGATTTCAGCAGAGAAAGTGGCCTTAATTCTCATCATTCCTTAGCCCTGCCAAACCCAGGTCAACCAGTGTAACCAACAAGTCTAATCTGTGCACTTTCCCTGTACAATGTAATACTTTTGTCTTTCAAAGGCTAACTCAGAAAAGTGTGTTTGAATCAGCTTCTAATAGCCATCCCCTAGGCTTCTCTCCTCTCCTCTCCTGCCCTTTATATACTACTCGTGAGTGGCTACCCATTATGATAATGTGGGTGTTAAACACCACTGCAAATCTGAAGGCTCAAATGTATACTGTTTTTCAAACTTAGAAAGGCTGATGTGTTTGAATCACTGTGCCTTTCTCCTTTTCTGTCTGAATTCACAAAATAATCTTCAAATGAATATGTGCCTTCTGATGAGTGGAGAGAGAGTTTGAGAGAGACTTGGATTAAGAACTGATGGGTGGAAAAAGGAATCAGAGGGGGTGAGCTACACGTATTCAAATCCAGCAGGCACTGTGATTCCCAATTGACAGCCCTATGAACAGGTTCAAAATCACTCTGTGCCAAGTGGCATTATTTTTTACCTGATGCTTTTTGCCATCCATTGTCATGGTGAGTGGCTTGTACGTGATATCATAGGTCTGGTTTGGCAGATGAGGTTGCACAGTGATAACCTTGGGTCCACTCCAATACTCTCCTTCAATTTTGGGCTGCAGATTCCAGACCTGGTTGGTGCGGTTGGTTAGTACAATGCCGTGGACCTGCGCAGTCCGAACTTGACAGCTGAAATTGAGAATCTGTAAAAAGTGACATGAAAGCGCGATGTTATTGCACATTTTAACACCATCTGTGTAGTATCCAGACTTGGAAAGAATTGCACAGATCATTCATTAATGTGTTATCTGCTGAAGGCAGGTCCTTGGTTTATTGTCTGATGATGCTTCCTCAATTAAGGTCTAATGGGGATTGACAAAATAGACACAGGGCAGATGTTTCCCTTTGTGGGGCAATCTAGAATGAGGGCTCACAGCTTTAGGCTAAGGGGTGGCAAATTTAAAACAGAAATGAGGAGGACTTACTTCTCTCAAAGAGTCATAAATCTATAGCATTCATTACTTCTGATGCTGAAGGGACAGAATTTCTCTCTTCATCGATGGACATATTCTCCAGCTTCCTACCTCCAGGCTCACCATCATGGGAAAATTATACCCAAAGAGTGTGTATCATCAAAGTTGTGGGGAATTCATTTCTATCCAGTAGTATGAATTACAACACTGATTACCTTTCTTTTTCTATTTAACTGGTTCTGAAGCATTGGAAAAGCACAATATAAATGCAAATTATTTCTATTTTTTTTAAATGAAGCCTGGCAAAGATCAATAAAATTCTATAACACAGTTTATCTTTTAGGCACAACATTGACCTCAAATAATATTCTCCAGCCTTGAAATGAAGTTATTCTTGTCATCATACTTAATGCTTTATGTCTGCGGTAATTTTTTTTGAGACATTAACCCGATAGTTTATATGGTCACTGCTCCCACTTAATTTGTGTACAAAATTACTAATGCAAACCCAGAAAGAGCATGACAAAAGAAAAACAGGGAAGACTTGCATTTATATTAGTTGTAATGATACAGGCACACAAGTCATTGTAAGTAAAGAAGCAGATGAATAGAGTTACAACAAAGGCAAACTCGTGTTTATTTCTGAAGGGTCAATGAATGTGGAGCTGGAAAAGCACGACAGGTCAGACAGCAACCGAGGAGCAGAGAAGTCAACGCTTTGAGCTGAAACCTTTCATCAAGACTGGGAAGGAGAGGGGAGCCCAGAAGTAAATAGAGGCTAGGGGGGTGGAGCTGGGGGGAAGGGAGGTGAGATGGAGATAGGTGGATGCTGGTGAGGGGTTATTGTGGTTGGTCAGTGGGAAGGGTGGAGTGGATGGGTGGGTAGGCAGATGGACAGGTTGAGGGTGGAGAGATCTTGAAGCTGGTGAAGTCAATATTCAGGCCATTGGGCTCCCAAGGCGAAATATGAGGTGTTGTTCCTCCAGTTTACATTTGGCCTCACTCTGACAGGGGAGTGGGAGGGGGAGTTAAGGTGGATGGTGACAGGAAAGTAGGGTTGGTTGGTGTGGGCAAAACACAGATGCTCCACGGACCGGTCCCTGAGTCTGCATTTGGTCTTCCCGATATAGAGGAGACCACATCAGGAGCAACGGATCCAATAGATCAGGTTGGATGAAGTGCAGGTGAATCTCTGCCAGATTTGGAAGGATTATTTGGAGCCTTGGACGGAGATAAGAGGGGAGGTGTGGGGGCAGGTGTAGCAGGTGTTGCAGGGAAAGGCACTGGGTGTAGTGGAGGGGTTGTTGGGGAGTGTGGAGCTGACGAAGGAGTCATGGAGTGAACGGTCCCTGCACAAAGTGGACAGGGGTGCTGGATCATCTTGTTGGGACATGAAAGGAATAATTGAAAGAACTCTATAACAAAACCATCACCTCTTGGGTGATTACCATCTATAATATCAATCAGAAAAAGACCCTGTTCTAACAAATGTTACTGGTATACCTAATCCCACTGTCCACTTCCTCTAACTAAACTTTGAAGCACTATTGAGCTTGAATAATATCATAAGGTGTTTAGAAGAGGAGTTTTCATGGATTTTGATCAAGATTCCTGTTCTAAAGTTGTATGTTAACAGGATCCAGCTAAGTTGTCATGAGTCAGTTCAGAAGAAAGCTGTCATCACATGAACAGATACAAAAACTGAACAACTCAGCCCTTCGAGACTGCACCATTCAATAAGATCATGGCTTGTCAGACTTTAACCTCAAGTCTAGATAGATTCCTTCATGCCCGGGGTAATCTCTCATCACCTTGATAATCAAGAATCTATCTACTACTGCCTTAAAAATATTTAGATTCTGCATCTACTGCCTTTTGAGGGATGGAATTGCAAATACTATCAACCCTCTGAGAGAAAAAAATGCTTCCTTATCTCTGTTTTAAATGGACATCCCGTTATGTTTAAACTGTGACCCCCCTTAATTCTAGATTCTCTCACAAGAGAAAACATCATTTCAACATCCACCTGGTCAAGTACCCTCAGGATCTTATAAATTTAAATTAAGTCACCTCTGACTCTTCTAGTCTCCAGGGGCTACAGGTCCAGCTTGTCTAGGCTTTGCTCATAAGGCAACTTGCTTATTCAAGGTATTAGTCAAGTAAACTTTCTCTGAACTACTCCCAATTCATTAACATCCTTCTGTAAAGTTTTTGAGAAGATTTATAGCTCAGATGAGGATGAGGTTGCAGACTTGCTTGCTGAGCCGGTGTGTTTGGTTGCAGACGTTTTGTCACCCTGTTGGGTAACATCATCAGTGTGTCTCTGGTGAAGCGTTGGTGTTTCGTCCCGCTTGTTATTTATATGCCTCAGTTTGCTGGGGTGGTTGGTGTTACTTCTGGTTCTTGAAAAAACATTCCGCATGTTCGTTGATTGAAAACCCATAATGCAATCAACAAACATGTGGAATAACACCCCATATACAAACCCATGCAAAAAAGAACTGGAACTGACACAACCCAACTTAACAGACCGAATCATATAAATACCAAGCGGAGTAGAACAATATCGCTTCATCAGAGGCCGCACTGATGATGTTACCTAGCGTGGCGACGAAACGTCCATATGATAACCAGCCAGCTCAGCGAGCAAACCAACAACCTAAAAGTGACAAAGTAATGATTGTTGATTGTCATAAAACCATCTAGTTCATTGATGCCCTTTAGGGAAAGAAATCTGCCATCCTTACCTGGTCTACATGTGACTTCAGACACACAGCAATGTGGTTGACTTTTAACTGCCCTCTGGGCAAATAGGGATGGCCAACACATTTTTTAAAATTGAAGAATTCTACTGTCTTGCATGACATTGTACCTCACAGCAGTTAATGGTCTCACGTGTTCGTTTGCTGTTGAGCTGCATAACCTAATTCCCAGCGTTAGGTAGGGGTGTGTGTGTGTGTGCGCGCACATTTGGGGAGGGGTGTCAAAATTGAATTCTCTTCCAGCTGACATCACATGTTGCATGTGTCTGCACTGTGGTCCCTTCTCATTCATTTTACAAGGTTGATCTGATGGATACTTTGAGCAGAGTATTAGGTAGACCTCATTTCATACCAGCTGACTTACACTTTAGTATTGGTGATGGGCATTCATCAAGGACAAATAGCTTTGTGTCCCATGTGAAGTCTAGTCACATGGGCAGTGGGTGATTTGGCATTTGGGTATCCATGGCTCAGCAAGAATCAACAGCCCTGCCACTCTGCTCCCAGAATTTGTGGTGAGGGAGGTAGGGGATAGGGATGCAGGATGTCCATCATTCTCTCCAGGTTTTATCTCACTGCAGCTCCAGCAGACAGGGTTATTTTTGCTGAGTTGTTGGATTTCTGAGCATATGCAACACTCCTTGGCATTGACACTGCCAGGAAACTTGTGGCAGTGTGTCTTAGGGGTGGAATCCATTTTGTAGCTGCTGCTTTGCTCACAGTAATCAGGCCTCGTTGCTAGGCATGGTTTCACTTGATGGCAGGAAGGGTGGAACTAGCAGGATTTCTGATTGGAACTGGGGAGGGAGAGGACTATTCCTCACTCTCCCAGCCTGGGAGGGGCCAGGCAGCCTTACTCCACCCTGCTCCCAAAAAGTCTCCCCAGCTGGAGTGGCAAACGGTGTGGCATCTTTCATCTCTCTCACATTAGTTCTCCAGATCTGTGTCTCTTTTCCATGAGCTCAGACCCCTGATGAGCTGAAGTCTTCGGAAAGGGCCAGAAAAAAATGGAGGAACGATTTGAGAGCAAGCTGACTGTCTGTCGATCTGTGTTATAAAGAGGACTTTATCCTGTGGATGGGGGATTCCAACGAACCTTTTAACCAGCTGTTGCTCAAACTACTGACCACCTTAATTACACACTGTCAAAATTTACTGGCAACTATCTCTCCAGTACTACATATTTCACATGAAGGAGCAAATAACTGCAGATGCTGAAATCCGTACTGAAAACAAAAATGCTGGAAATCACAGCAGGTTGGGCAGCATCCATGGAGAGACAGCAAGCTAACGTTTCCAGTCTAGATGGCGCTTCATGAAGAGTCATTTAGACTCAAAACATCAGAATCATAGAATCCCAACAGTGTGGAAGCAGGCCATTCAGCCCATCGAATCCAACACTCCAAAGAGCATCCCACTCAGGCCCACCCCCCTACCCTATCCCTGTAACTCTGCATTTCCCATCTGTCATTACCTGCAAATATGTGCACACATGCCACAAACTGACATGAGCCAGAATTTTATTAACATGGCCTGCACATCGTTGGACAGCAGGAGGAAACTGGAGCACCCGGAGGAAACCCGCACTGACACAGGGAGAATGTCCAAACTCCACACAGACACTTGCCCAAGGCTGGAATCAAACTCAGGTCCCTGGTGCTGTGAGGCAGAAGTGCTAACCACTGAGCTACCAAACCACACCTTAGCTTGCTGTCTCTTTATGGATGCTGCCTGACCTGCTGTGATTCCAGCATTTTTTATTTTCAGTACATTTCACATGAATTTCTTCTGGAATCCGTAACTGGGAGTATAACAATGGCCATCTCTGCGAATGTTAAACATGGGGTATTGCGATGCACATGAATGATGAGTCAGAAATGCATTCAAAACAACTTCGCTACAATTAGAAACATGTACAAAATAAAGTGGCAGCTTGAATCCTTCTGGTGTGTTGCTGTTTCAGTGCTTGTGTGCAAAGCTTCACCTCCTTGTGTGTAGCCTGCCCCTGAGGGAAGTTTGACTGAGTTACTGTTTTCACTCAGGCCAGCAGAGGCCAAGTACAGAGTCCCATGGGGCCCTCAGACATGTGGGAGCAGTCACAACCATCCTGCACAGTACCTGACAGCCAATGTCAACTCCAACCTACTGTGGCTCACCCAACCTGACAGATATGTTGGGAACTGCAGCACCCCTTTTTATGACCGATTTTATGGCATTCAACAGTGGTAATATCATCACCATTAGACTAGGTGTTTATTGCAGTTTTTCAATTAAATTTAAATTTCCACATCTGCAATGGTGGGATTTGAACCCACGCCCTCAAAACATTAGCCTGTGGTAGAGGATTACTAGTCCAAAGACATTACCATTAAACCACAGCCTTTGCAATTATATTGCTTACAACTGACTACTACCAGAGCAATTTTAGAACGATAAGCCCAAGGACCTTCATTGTAAACCAATTTCTAAAGGGTGATTTTAACTCAGTAGGAAAATTGATGGCTTCAAACACAATACTAGATGTCAGATTTAGATGACTAGATGACACCAAGTCTGAAAAAAGAAAGAGTAAGAGACAGAGAGAAGGAAAGAAAAAATGGAACAACAAAGAAAGGGAAGGCCTGGCATTTCTATAGAATCTATAGGTGCCATCAAAATGGTCTGCAGATAGTGAAGTCTTTTTGAAGCGCAGCCACTCTTGTAAAGCAGGGAACACAGTTGCCAATGTGCACATGCAAAGTGGTTGTACCTCTTTCATAGCTGTTGGTGCCACACACGAACCAGTCAGGTAGAGATACACAGATTTTGTTCCTTCGATGAAGCATTGCACATTTTCCAAACGAATGTCTGCATGCACTTTAATGGGATGAAATTTCACTTCCAGGGACACCTGCATTCCTGGGGAGATATAGCCCTCCATAGGGGAAATTGAAAAGTGAGGCTTAAACTTCTCAACGTCCCATCTAAAGCTGCAACATAAAGGAGAGGTTTAATTCATTGTGAACGCAATGGAATGACAACAGAAACCTGAATTTACATAGCACCGTTAAAATAGTAAAATATTCCAAGGCATAGAATTTGACACTAAACTGGATAAAAAAAATCATTTCATGAATGGAAAACTATCTAGGTACATTCTTTCCACAAAAACAAAACAAATGCAATCTATTTTCAATCATCACAAAGTGATAGAAAGTGCTGTTGACAGTGACATTAACTCAGCACAAGCTGCTTACTTATGCTCAGTTTGATTTTACCAGGACAACTCAAACTAATTAAGCTTGGTTCAAAAAAAGACAAAACAGTTGAATTCCCAAGATGAAGTGAGAGTGAATGCACTTAATGTCGAGACAGAATGCAATTTGAGGTGACATCAAGAATTCCCAATGAAACTGAAGTCTGTAGAGATAGGGTAAAGTTACCTGCTGGTTGAAGTCACACCTAGCACAAAGGAGTTGATGGTGAAGCCCAACAGTTGAAAGTGGAAAGTCATATTATTGCCACACAAGTGCCAGGTAATGACTATCTCCAATGATAAAAAATCAAATCGTCTGTCCTTGACATTCAACGGTATTACCATTGCTCAATATCTTACTATCAACATCCTGGGGGTTACCATTGACTAAAAACTAGAATGGACCAGCCATATAAATACTGTGGCTATAACAACAGGTCAGAGAATAGAAATCCTGCAGTTAATAACTCGCTTTGTGACTCTGCAAAGTTTGTCCACCCATTTACAAGGCACAAGTCAGGAGTGTGATACAATACTCTACACTTGCCTAAATGAATATAATCACAACAACACTCAAGAAGCATGACACCACCCAGGACAAAGCAGCACGCTTTACCGGCACACCTCACCAACTTAAAAATCCACCTTTCCATCACTAAAGGATGCACAATGGCAGTAGTCTGTATCACCTAAAAGATGTACTGTATCAATTCAGCAAGAGTCCTTCAAAAGCACCTTCCAAAGCCATGACATCTACCATCCAGAAGAAGCACCACATGGATATGACCACCATCACCTGCAACTTCACCTTCAAGTGGTCACCATCCTGACTTGGGACTATACTGCTGTTCCTTCAGTGTCGCGAGGTTAAAATTGTGGAACATATTTCCTAACAGCGCTACAGGTATTCCTACATTCCAAGGACTATAGCTGTTCAAGAAGGCAGGTCACCACACCTTCTCCAGAGTTGCCGGGGATGGGGAACAAATGTTGATCCACCCAGTCATATCCACATCCCATAAAAGAATGTACTAAAAAAATAATACTTCTGAGTTCTGAAGAAGGATCACTGGACTTGAAATGTTAATTCTGCTTTCTTTCCACAGATGCTACCAGACCTGCTGAGTTTCGCCAGCAATTCCTGTTTTTGTTTGGAATAAATGCTTGTTTTGTTAGCAGGGTCACATCCCACAAACCAACAGAGTAAGATAGCATCTCAGTTTAAGGTTTCACCCCAAAGAAGGCACCCCTGACCAGTATAGCACTCTCATCACTGGGACTGGAGACTGATATTTGTGTTCAAAATCATGGCATGGATTGGAAACTATTCAGACTCATAGGTGACAGCGTGACCTGCTCGGCCAACATCGATACCTAAACTGAGGGTTCCTAGGAACAAGTGGACAAAGGTGAGATCCCCCTAAATGTGTGCAGCACCTCCCGTTTTAGACAAGACACTTCAGGTTGGTAATGATCTGTGTACCTTGCACCAATATCTCCAATATTTTCTAGCACGATCAGCCGTGTGACTGAGCTACGGAGAACAACCGATCCAAATGCGATACAGTTTTGGTCCAGTGATATCTCAATTCCCTGGCAGCACCCTCGTATCACAAATAGAGGTTTTGAGACGCCAACGCACTCCATCATCACTTCCTCTGCAAACTGGGGAATTCGGTAGGTTGGAGAGAAAGTCACTACCACATCACAAGTGCCTCCCTGTGCATCCAGCTTGATGCTGGTAAGCGGCGACAGACTTAGAACCTGAAAAAGATAAAGATGAAGCTAATGGACAGCATTCAGACTAAATGAACCCCAATATGGTAATTGTAAGTTTAATTAGCTTAGAAACACCTTCACTGTTTTAATTTTCTAGTGACGACCAACAGATCAAAGCCATTTCTACTGCATTAAGGAGTTGAGACTGACTTGACATAAGTCACGGTGGCTCAGTGGTTAGCACTGCTGCCTCACCCTCTGATGACTGTCTGTCTGTGTGGAGTTTGCACATTCTCTCCATGTCTGCGTGGGTTTCCTCCGCATGCTCCGGTTTCTTTCCACAGTCTGGAGATGTGCAGGTTAGGTGGATTGACCATGCTAAAATGCCCATAATGTCCAGGGATGTGCAGGCTAGGTGGAATAGCAATGGGAAATATGGGATTACAGGGATAGAGTTGGAGGATGCAGCTGCGTGGGCGGCTCTTTGGAGGGTCAGTGTGGACTTAATGGCTGAATGGCCTGCTTCCATAATGCAGGGATGTTATGATTCTACGTCATTTTCATCTGGAATAGGACGTGGTAGCACTGATGAATTGTTCCCTTTGTAAGCATTTTTTGTGCTCAGAAGCTAACAATCTGTGAATTGCAACAGTGAGAGCACTCATTGCCAAGAGCTGCCTTCAATTCAGCTCAGTATCACGGAGGAGCTTATATGAAGACTTTGATAGGTTACTCAAGACAGTTCAAGGGCCAATGACGAGGAGTTTGAAGATCATAATCAATGAACATCGAACATTACAGTGCAGTACAGGCCCTTCGGCCCTCGATGTTCCGCTGACCTGTGAAACCAATCTGAAGCCCATCTAACCTAAACTATTCCATTATCATCCATATGTTTATCCAATGACCATTTAAATGCCCTAAAAGTTGGCGAGTCTACTACAGTAAGAATGTGGAAGATGAATAGAAGATGACTGCATGTTAGAAGCATTGTAGTTAGCTTTACTGCTTGGGAGTCAATTGAACTGCACAGATTGTAAGTAAGGTTCTCAGCAAGGAATCAGGAGTAGTTGAATGCTCTGTGCTGTTAGAATTTAGGCAAAGTTCTAGGAATTAGTAAGCAGCTAAGTGTTAGAGTCAGTACTCAGAAGAAGTCCTATGGAGCTAGGAAAGTGAGAATATTTCTTGTTTGTTTTGGGGGAATCCCGTGAGGAGTTTGGAAGAAATCTGTGAGCATTAATACTTCAGTAGGGGTTGGAAAGCTTGCAAGTAATATTTGCTTGACACAATTCCTAGGGACAGCACTGACTCAGTGAAGCTAACTGCCACTGAAGATCTAGTGTTATGCTTGTGAATGTGTACTGGATGTAGTTTTGGAGTGCAGGGGAGCTTATTCCAGGAAAGATGGGTGATTGACTAGATTGGGGAAAGTTCAGACAGACTATGACAGAGTGGCTCTTGAGAGGGAGCTTCAAGGCCAGATCTGCAAATGTAAAAAACTGTGATCCCTTGTGAAGTTCAATTATATTTGATGGTTAATGGACTTGTGTCATTAACATTCAGGGGGAATTACTAAGAAACTTGTGGGATCAGTCTTGATTGCATTTACTATTTGATGTGTTTTGCGGGGCGTCAATACCCATATTTATTAGATGTTAACTCTGGATGTGAGAAATAAGTTGTAAGTGTATTTAGATTGCATTGCTCTGCTAATGTTGTTAAGTTCATTGTTGTTTGTTCAAAACTCTGGAATTTTGGGGCTTTATTTTCTTGAATCTCATAAAATACCTACTTTAAGAATAAAAGTTACTAGTCCCTAGGCAGATCATAACACAGATTAGGTGGTCAGTACATTGTGATCATAGTATTGAATGACCAAGGTACTAATTCTCCCAGATTAGCTCAAACTGACTGGTCCCAGGACGTAGACATCCCCAGACTAAGATCTGCTGTTTCAGGGTCATGTGTACACACTCTTGGTACGGACATAATTGGATGAGATTTTGAGTAGGATGTTAGTGCGGGCATTGAGATTGTGCACTGGATGTATTCAGGATAGGCAGATCCTGCTGTCAGTTGACTACTCCAGCTCATGCCCTCAATGTTCTGACCATTGAAGGCAAGCATGCCAAATGCCTCCTTCATCACCCTGCCGACCTGCGACTCCACTTTCAAGGAACTATGCACTTGCACTCCTAGATCTGTTTATTCAGCAACATCCCCACCACTCTCTCGTAATCTCTTCGGCCCTGAAACTGCTCGACCACGTCCTGAAGCAAACCAGGTACTACAGCCACATCACCTTCCTTAGCACCTGCCTACGGAACCAGATCATCCCCAATGGACTACAATCCACATTCAAGCCTTCCCAATTTGGCCCCAACCGTGACAATATCTATACTCATGGTATTGAGATTCTTCAGAAGCGTTTCTCCCTGCGACTCCTGAAACACACACTTGCAGCAATGCGCCGGCATCTCCAGGCACTACAATCAAGCCTACCCCAGCTCAGAGCCTCCCTCTCCCAGACCTGCAAAGGACCTCTCCTGTTTTTTATTCTCCGTAGGATCCACAACCTGAACTCACAATTCTACTCAGCTTTATTGGACACAAAAAACCGTAAGTACAGTAAACTTACTGGTGCCTACCACCCAAAACGGGCTTCCTCCACCCCCCGAATCCCCAGCCGTACCCAGGACCTTCCCCACAACGCGTCCGCCGCCATTGGCCATGAGGCCACTATCGGAGAACCCACAGATGACGTCACATCCGCCACCGCCGGGTTCCCCACTTCCGGGACAGCAAACACCATCGCTACCGTTGCCACCAATGCCACCGACACTGAAGTCGGGACCATCCTCACCGCTACTGCCGCCGCCTACCCCGCTCCTCCTACCTCCGACGCCACTCCGCCCATCACCGACGCGGACGCAACTCCACCCACCGCCGGCGCAACTCCGCCCACTGCCAACACCGGCACAACTCCGCCCACCGACGACACCAACGCAACTCCGCCCACAGCCGACGCCGACGCAACTCCGCCCACAGCCTCCACAGCCAGCAGCTCCAGAGGAGACAGGAGCACCCAGCCCTGCCGAGTCTTCACCATCCCCCCAGACCTACCCCTTACTGAGGACGAACGGTCAGTCCTCAGTAAAGGGCTCACCTTTGTCCCCCTCCACCCACAGATCAACGAATACCGCTCACGCTTGGACATACAGCAGTTTTTCCGCTGCCTCCGCCTCCACGCTTACTTCTTCAACTGTGAACCTAACCCTCCCTCTACTGACCCCTTCTCCCGCTTCCAACACACCCCCTCCTCCTGGACACCACCCCAAGACCTCCTACCCTCCCTCGACCTCTTCATCTCCAACTGCCGTCGAGACATCAATCGCCTCAACCTCTCCACCCCTCTCACCCACTCCAACCTCTCCCCCGCAGAACGTGCAGCCCTCCGCTCCCTCCGCTCCAATCCCAACCTCACCATAAAACCCGCGGACAAGGGAGGCGCAGTTGTAGTATGGCGCACTGACCTCTACATCGACGAGGCCAGACGCCAACTCTCCGACACCTCCTCCTACCGCCCTCTTGATCATGACCCCACCCCTGAGCACCAAACCATCATCTCCCAAACCATCCACAACCTCATCACCTCAGGTGACCTCCCACCCACGGCCTCCAACCTCATCGTTCCCCAACCTCGCACTGCCCGCTTCTATCTCCTTCCCAAAATCCACAAACCTGAATGCCCTGGTCGACCCATTGTCTCCGCCTGCTCCTGCCCCACCGAACTGATCTCCAACTATCTGGACTCCATTTTCTCCCCCTTGGTCCAGGAACTCCCTACCTATGTCCGTGACACCACCCACGCCCTCCACCTCCTCCAGAACTTCCAATTCCC